TAAGCATAAAGTTGTTATGCCGACTTCGATGTCATTGTTTCAGAATTTATTCGTGTAACTTCCGATTACTGACTCTTCTGTGTTCGTTCTTCGCAGGTACAAGGACAAGTCGAGTGACGATTCTGCATACGACCTGCTGCTCCGCAGCCGAACTGTTGCTCAAGCCGAACTGTTGCTCAAGCCGAACTATTGCTCAAGCCGAACTGTTGCTCAAGCCGAACTGTTGCCCAAGCCGAACTGCTGCTCAAGCCAAACTTCTGCTCAAGCCGAACTTCTGCTCAAGCCGAACTTCTGCTCAAGCCGAACTTCTGCTCAAGCCGAACTTCTGCTCTAGCCGTACTTCTGCTCAAGCCGAACTTCTGCTCTGCATTTGCAAGCCGTGCGTGACGCTCTGACACGTTGGGAGTGCTGTTGTTGCCTGTCTTCACGTTGACGTGCTGGTCTGACGTTTCTTTTGGTCAACACCTAGAGATCGCCCACCACCGCCTCCATCCATCCGCACGCTTCCCCCCGCCCAGCCGCCCTTCCGATTTCCAGAGGTAAGCACGAGATTTTTATGTCCACCTAATTTAACTTGAAACGCACTAGATCCATTTGGATGTACTTGTTCTTTGAAATTCTCCACGTATATTTCTGATTTTTGACTCTTGTGTTTGTATATTCGCATGTACAAAAGACTTGCTGCTCGTCCAATGAAGAATCTGCATCCGAACTTGCTGCTCTCCATTTTAAGTGTTGGACGTTCTGCTTTGAAGCGGTCTAGCGCGGTGGCCGGCGATGTGACGCGGTGGGACGCGGTCTGACGCGATGGACGTGGTGCTGCCACGCTTCATCACGCTGCCGCGTTTGATTGGGAAGTGTTACTTCCCCCTTCCTTTGGCTTTTTCCTCGCTTTCGTTTCCATTTCCTCGCTATCATCATCATCATCATCATCCACAACCCGACTATTCGTGAATCACGTTTCCACCGTCCCTCTGGTCATGCGGTTGCAGCTGGAAGAAGATCCTCCTCGGTTGGGTAGTCGGGTGGCTAGATTAGATCCTCCCTCCGAAGGCTGCAGCCCGTGACCATGGACGTCCGCCCTCGTTTTCGTTTGTCATTTTCATATTCATCGCTTTTCACTTTTCGCATTTGTTTTATGCTTGTTCGTTTTTTTTTCCTTTTTTTTTTCTTCTTGTCTTGCTGTTTACTAACTTCGAGCCCTCTTCTGTGTTTCCTACCCCCTGTTTTCAGCAATAAGGATCACGTTGTGTGTGAAGGCGGATCTGCAAATGGAGCTGATTAACCAAGGAGCGGATTATTCAAGGCCGGAGCAACCAAGGAGCCAAGCTACCAACCCAAGCAAGCAGCTCAACGTAGTGGTAAGTTTACTGTTTAACCATGTTAACGCTTTCTTTTTGAATTGCCTGCAAATGGTGTCCTTCTTTGAGATTTTGATTCTGAAGATTAGATACTGACTTAGTTTGTTTTTTTTTCTTAAACAGGACAATGAAGATGCAAATGGCAAAGAAGGAGCAGCCTACGAAGCAATTGGAGCTAAGCAACTAAGATGCGATGCTATTAAGGAAGCAACTGCACTTGCTTTAGCCATTTTAACTGTTTTATGCTTAATCAGGTTGCAAAATGGTGTCTTTCCTTTGAAATTCTGATTCAGAAGAATATGTACTAATTCTTGTTTGTGTTTTTCTTAAAACAGGACCAAGGAGCCTACGAGCAGCCAACCAAGGAGCCTACGAGCAGCCAACCAAGGAGCCTACAAAGCGGCGGAAGCGGTTGCTTGGCGGCGGGAGCGGCTGTGTAAGCGGTTGCTGTCCTGCGGAAGTGAAGTTGGGCTGCGGATGCGGTTGCTGCGCTGCGGATGCGGTTGCTGGGCTGCGGAAGCAGAAGCTGGGCGGCGAAGGCGGTTGCTGGCCTGCGGAAGCGAGGCCATGGAAGCTGTCAAGTAAGTTAACAGCCATTGCATTGTTCATCCTTGGGTTTTGCCGTTTTCTGCAAAATTGTGTCTTTCCTTTGAGATTTTGATTCAGAAGCTTTTGTACTAATTTTTGTTTGTGATTTTTCTTAAAACAGGACCAAGGAGCCTTCGAGCAGCCAACCAAGGAGCCTACGAGCAGCCAACCAAGGAGCCTATGAAGTGGCGGAAGCGGTGGCTTGGCGGTGGAAGCGGCTGTGTAAGCGGTTGCTGGCCTGCGGAAGCGAAGGTGGGCCGCGGATGCGGTTGCTGCGCTGCGGATGCGGTTGCTGGGCTGCGGAAGCGGAAGCTGGGCAGCGGAGGTGGTTGTTGGGCTGCGGAAGCAGAGGCTGGGCAGCAGAAGCGGAGGCTGGGCGGCGGAAGCGGTTCCTGGGCTGCGGAAGCGGCAACCAAGGAAGCAGCGGAATGCACCGTTGAAGCAACTGGTAAGCTGTTCACCGTATTACTCCTTCCATTGTTTACCATTGCAATTGGTGTCTGTCAGTTTTTGTTAAGATTCGAATTCTGAGAAACTGAGAATCTGGTAACTTAAATACTAATATGTGTCTGTCATTCTCTCTTAACAGGACCAACCAACTAAGACGGAAGTGGCGAAGGACAAGTCTATGACTCGGCGAGCACCTTTCAGAGCGACGGCGCAGCCTTCAAAGGAGCAAACTTGAAGCAGACTTGAAGCAGCCTTGAAGCAGAGAACGAAGACTACAGTTGCTGGGCTGCGGAAGCGGAGGCTGGACTGCGGAAGCGATTCCTCGGCTGCGGAAGCAGCGAAGCAACCAAGGAAGCAATAGAATGCACTGTTGAAGCATCTGGTAAGCTGTTCACCGTCTCACTCCTTCCACCGTTTACCGTTGCAATTGGTGTCTGCTAGTTTTGCTTAACATTGGCATTCTGAGATTCTGGTAACATACATACTAACATGTGTCCATCGTTTTCTCTTAACAGGACCAGCCAACCACGACAGAAATGGCGAAGGAGAAGTCTACGAATCGGCCAAGCATCTTACAGAGCGGCGGAGCAATCTACAAAGCGGTCGAGCAACTTACCGAGCGGCGGAGCAATCTACAAAGCGGCCGAGCAACTTACCGAGCGGCGGAGCAATCTACAAAGCGGTCGAGCAACTTACCGAGCGGCGGAGCAATCTACAAAGCGGCCGAGCAACTTACAGAGCGGCGGCCTGGTGGAGAGGAGAGGAGATGAACCCCTGAACCCTGAAAGGTTGATTCAGCCTGGTGCAGACAAGGGGAGAGGCGGCTTGGTGATGTACCCCTGAACCCTGTGAAAGCGGAGTATGGGCTGCGGAGGCGCAGTATGGGCTATGGAGGCGGAGTATGGGCTGCGGAGGCGGAGTATGGGCCGCGGAGGCGGAGCATGGGCTGCGGAGGCGGAGCATGGGCTGCGGAAGCCGAGTATGGGCTGCGGAGGCGGAGCATGGGCTGCGGAGGTGGAGCATAGGCGGCGGAAGCCGAGTATGGGCTGCGGAAGCGGAGCATGGGCTGCGGAAGCGGAATATGCGGAAGCTAAGCGTGGGCTGCGAAAGCGGTGTTGGTAGCCTACAGGGAAGCAGCGTAGCAGCCTACAGGGAAGCAGCGAAGCAGCCAACAGGGAAGCAGCGAAGCAGCCTACAGGAAAGCAGCGAAGCAGCCTACAGGGAAGCAGCAAAGCAGCCTACAGGGAAGCAGCGAAGCAGCCTACAGGGAAGCAGCGAAGCAACCTACAGGGAAGCAGCGAAGCAGCCTACAGGGAAGCAGTGAAGCAGCCTACAGGGAAGCAGCGAAGCAGCCTACAGGGAAGCAGCGAAGCAGTCTACAGGGAAGCAGCGAAGCAGCCTAAAGGGAAGCAGCGAAGCAGCCTACAGGGAAGCAGCGAAGTAGTCTACAACACTCTACAGGGGAGCAGCGTAGGAGGAGGCTGCAAGGAGGCTTGGCTACAAGGAGGCTGGGCTGCAAGGAGTAGACGGAGGAGGAGGCTGCGGAAGCGGTTGTTGCGGAAGCGGTTGCTGCGGAAGCGGAGGCTGGGCGGGAGGGATGTGGCGAAGCAGCGGAGGGTTGTGGTGAAGGGTTGCGCGGATGGTGGCTAGATGGGAACTCAAGGATGGCCTAAGAGGTGGCTGAGCTAGCGCAAGCTCAGTCGGTCCTAAGGCGAGTGGCGCGGTGTGGGTGTGATCTCAGCGATGATGTGATGGAGTAAGGGCCGGTGCTTGGTTCTGGCAGTGCAAAGTCGCCCGGGAGGCTTTGCACTGCCTGGGCCCAGAATCAAGCAACCCGGGTACCTGACGCTCCAGGTAGCATCACTGTTGCGGTTGCACTTGCACCACAAGTCAGCACCGCACCAGGGTGGGTGCGGGGGGCTTGAGTCACTCTAAAGAGAAGGGAGACCGCACTGGCGTGGGTGCGGAGATCTTGTCTTACCTCTGAATGATGAGTCCACACTGGCGTGCGTGTGGAAATACTCATTCTAGGTCACCTGAGGGTTTTCGTTTAGGAGGCTCGCGGTTTCACTTAGAGCCTCGGGGCTTTCTCACACTGGCGTGGGTGTGGGGGGTTCGTCAGTTGATGCGTCAGCCAGCCACAGGGAGAGAGGGATGGAGCAGTGGAGGGGAGCAGCCGCCGTTTGAAGCAGTCAAGGGGAGATGCCGCTTCAAGTAGTTAGGGGGAGAAGCCGCCTGCAGACAAGGGGAGAAGAACCCCTAAACCCTGAAGCGAGTAGCCGCCTCCTGGTGCAGACAAGGGAGAAGCCGCCTCCTGGTGCAGACAAGGGGAGATGAACCCCAAAACCGTTAAGGGGAGGAGGATTTGCAAGGGGAGAAGGACCCCTAAACCGTTACGGGGAGGAGGATTTGCAAGGGGAGAAGAACCCGTAAACCGTAAAGGGGAGAGGCAGCCTGGTGCAGAGAAGAAGGTGTAAAGCAGCTTGGTGCAGAGAAAGGGGTGCAGCCGCCTGGTCTAGAGATGGGGAGAGGAATCTTCAAACCTCGAAGGGGAGAAGCAGCAGCCTGTTGCAAAGAAAGGGGTGCAGCCTCCTGATGCAGTCAAGGGGAGAAGGAGAGAAGCAGCCGCCTTCTGGTGCAGACAAGGGGAGAAGGAGAGAAGCAGCCGCCTCCTGGTGCAGACAAGGGGAGAAGGAGAGAAGCAGCTGCCTCCTGGTGCAGACAAGGGGAGAAGGAGAGAAGCAGCCGCCTTCTGGTGCAGACAAGGGGAGAAGGAGAGAAGCAGCCGCCTCCTGGTGCAGACAAGGGGAGAAGGAGAGAAGCAGCCGCCTTCTGGTGCGGACAAGGGGAGAAGGAGAGAAGCAGCCGCCTTCTGGTGCGGACAAGGGGAGAAGGAGAGAAGCAGCCGCCTTCTGGTGCAGACAAGGGGAGAAGGAGAGAAGCAGCCGCCTTCTGGTGCAGACAAGGGGAGAAGGAGAGAAGCAGCCGCCTTCTGGTGCAGACAAGGGGAGAAGTAGAGAAGCAGCCGCCTTCTGGTGCAGACAAGGGGAGAAGCAGAGAAGCAGCCGCCTTCTGGTGCAGACAAGGGGAGAAGCAGAGAAGCAGCCGCCTCCTGGTGCAGACAAGGGGAGAAGGAGAGAAGCAGCCGCCTCCTGGTGCGGACAAGGGGAGTAGGAGAGAAGCAGCCACCTTCTGGTGCAGACAAGGGGAGAAGGAGAGAAGCAGCCGCCTTCTGGTGCAGACAAGGGGAGAAGGAGAGAAGCAGCGGCCTCCTGGTGCGGACAAGGGGAGTAGGAGAGAAGCAGCCACCTTCTGGTGCAGACAAGGGGAGAAGGAGAGAAGCAGCCGCCTTCTGGTGCGGACAAGGGGAGAAGGAGAGAAGCAGCCGCCTTCTGGTGCGGACAAGGGGAGAAGGAGAGAAGTAGCCGCCTTCTGGTGCAGACAAGGGGAGAAGGAGAGAAGCAGCCGCCTTCTGGTGCAGTCAAGAAGAGCAGGAGAGAAGCCGCCACCTTCTGGTGCAGACAAGGGGAGTAGGAGAGAAGCAGCCGCCTTCTGGTGCAGACAAGGGGAGAAGGAGAGGAGCAGCCGCCTCCTGGTGCAGTCAAGGGGAGAAGGAGAGAAGCAGCCGCCCTCTGGTGCAGACAAGAAGAGTAGGAGAGAAGCCGCCGCCTTCTGGTGCGGACAAGGGGAGTAGGAGAGAAGCAGCCGCCTTCTGGTGCAGACAAGGGGAGAAGGAGAGAAGCAGCCGCCTCCTGGTGCAGTCAAGGGGAGAGGAACCCCTTAACCCTGAAGGGAAATAGCAGTCGTCTGGTGCAGAGAAGGGGAGGAAAACCACTAAGCCCTGAAATGGGAGGAACAGCTTGGTGCAGAGAAAGGGGTGCAGTTGCCTGGTGCAGTAAAAATGAGAATGGGAGAAGCAGCCGCCTGCTCTAGAGAAGGGGAGAGGAACCCCTAAACCTTGAAGCGGAGAAGCAGCTGCCTGGTGCAGTTAAGGGGAGCAGCAGAAGCAGCCGCTGGTGCAGAGGAGGGGAGAAGCAGTGGGGTGTAGGGAAGCGCCCTTCAGGAGGTTTTTTAGCCAAGTGATACGGCAGTACCCTAATTGTCAGGGTCTTAGCCCGTAGGCATCATACCCAACGCGATGCTGATGGGACGGATTTTTTATCCTCCATGGCTTGTGCACAAGCCTTCGAGTAAAAAAAAAAAAAAACAAGGGGAAGCAGCAGTGAAGGGAAAGCATCAGTGAAGGGGAAGCAGCAGTGAACTAAAGGGAAGCAGCGAATTAATGGGAATTGAGAAGAAACTAGTGAAGCAGCAAAGTAGTTAAGCAGTGATGCTGGTATTGGAGTAATGACTGGGGAGAATTGACGGGAATCGATGAGTAACGGAGGGGGAGATGTTGGTTGGATGGTGAAGCAGTGAAGCAGTCAACCAGTGATGCAATGAAGCAGTCAACCAGTGATGTAGTGATGCAGTCAACCAGTGATGCAGTGAAGCAGTCAACCAGTGATGCAGTGATGCAGTCAACTAGTGATGCAGTGAAGCAGTCAACCAGTGATGCAGTGAAGAAGTCAACCAGTGATGCAGTGATGCAGTCAACCAGTGATGCAGTGAAGCAGTCAACCAGTGATGCAGTGAAGCAGTCAACCAGTGATGCAGTGAAGCAGTCAACCAGTGATGCAGTGAAGCAGTCAACCAGTGATGCAGTGAAGCTGTCAACCAGTGATGCAGTCAACCAGTGTTGCAGTGAAGCAATACAGGCCAGGATTGTGGTAGTATCTGGAGAAGCAGAGAAGTAGCATAGTAGAGATGTGGCGAGCTGATACATACCCAACCCAGTACACCCATGTTACGTATTTTGCTTGTTAGTGGTTGGGTGATAACTCTACTGAATGTTCTTTCTGTCTCATAGAAGGATCAATATCAAATTGCAGCTTTCTAGCACCACTCCTGATACGAAATCATAACCAATTATTTTCAAGTTTCGAACGTGCTATTAACAGTTTACTAGGAAAGAACAAGGTTATAACGGTATGAGTGCAGCAGTGTCACAAGTACAAATCCAGTTGGGTTGCTGCGTGGGATGGGAGGTGCTGAGTGGGGAGGACACCTCTCTTTGAAAATAGTTTCAAGGCACCATACAGCAGTAACAATCACAGATAAGGTTGTATGGCATCCGCGGCACTGGCACTCTCATAGGACACTCAAGGTTGTATCCGCTTGTACCTACTGCACGTGTCATCCAAGGTAGCACGTGCACTGCATCTTCCGTAACTGCAGGGAGTGGACTTTGAGTTCACACAGTACTGACGCCACTGCTCTGACGCCCACTTTGTAACTCAAACAAGCACGGAGCTTCGTTTCTCAATATATTGTACGCCTTGAGATGAAACACACGGTGTGAGACAGACGTTGTCTCCTAAGGTGCTTCGAGGTGGCCCGTGTTGCTCGCGGGTGCCCATTGCAGTAGTCCCAGGCGCGTCACACCTTGGATGCTGCACCCCCTTGGCCTGCTGCTCCCTGCCCTGCACGTCCCACCCACCACACGCACCCCCCATGCACCCGCCCACCCACCCACCCGCCACCCACCCACCCAACCAACCGCCCACGCACCCGGCCAAGCACTCGCCCACGCATCCACGCACACCATACCCCCACTCACCCACCCACACCGGCACCCACACACACACGCACGCTCACACACACTCGCATGCATGAGTAGAGGCACAACAGCACAGACAGAGGCAGGTGAGTGGCCGCACATGCAATGAGCCAGAGAGGGAGTGAGCAACAAGCCCAGCAGTGGTGACAAGCATAGCAGTGGTGACAAGCACAGCAGTGGTGACAAGCACAGCAGTGGTGACAAATCCAGCAGTGGTGACAAGCCCAGCAGTGGTGACAAGCCCAGCAGTGGTGACAAGCCCAGCAGTGGTGACAAGCATAGCAGTGGTGACAAATCCAGCAGTGGTGACAAGCACAGCAGTGGTGACAAGCACAGCAGTGGTGACAAGCCCAGCAGTGGTGACAAGCCCAGCAGTGGTGACAAGCACAGCAGTGGTGACAAGCACAGCAGTGGTGACAAGCCCAGCAGTGGTGACAAGCCCAGCAGTGGTGACAAGCCCAGCAGTGGTGACAAGCACAGCAGTGCCCTGGTGCCCCATGCCTTGGTGCCCCGTGCCCTGGTGACCTGTGCCCTGACGCACACTGACTGTGAGCACTGACCTGGTGACCTGGTGCCCTGGTGCCCCATGCCTTGGTGCCCCGTGCCCTGGTGCCCCATGCCTTGGTGCCCCGTGCCCTGGTGCCCCATGCCTTGGTGCCCCGTGCCCTGGTGCCCCATGCCTTGGTGCCCCGTGCCCTGGTGCCCCATGCCTTGGTGCCCCGTGCCCTGGTGCCCCATGCCTTGGTGCCCCATGCCTTGGTGCCCCATGCCCTGGTGACCTGTGCCCTGACGCACACTGGCAGAGGATAAACAAATGGCAAGCACTGCAAGGGCCGCATAGGGGCGCGCAGGAGGAGCAGGGGGGAGAGGGGAGGGGGGAGGGGGGCTAACAGCGGATGTGACAAGCGGACCAGGCGGAGCAGGGGGGACAAGGGGGAACAAGGGGGACAGGTAGAACAAGGGAGAAAGGGAGAGAGTAGGGAAAGGGTGGACAGGGAAGAGAGGCGGGAGAGGGGCGAGGGAGGACGCGGGGAGAGGAGGGGCGCACCTGTCCTTGGAGACGGCATAGGGTGGGCCGCCCTCGTGTCCATCGATCTGCAGGCCAGGCGCACGCAGCGAGGGGCAGACACACAGCCAGCCAGCCGTGCGTCGTGAGCAGACAGCGGTGATTAGTGTTTGCCCGAGGGAGCATGCGAGGGTGCATTCATGTGTGCAGTAACACGAGGACACACATGAACATTGAGTGACAGGCGTGCAGGGATATGCATGGTGCGAGGGTGCAATGGTACGCACGGGGAACATGAGAGTAATGCGAGCAGCTCTGCTATCTTGCCCCTCAGCGATGGCGCCAGCGCACAGAAGGACCTGCACGCGGTGAGACCCGTGGAGGGACATGGAGGGACGGTGCATGGGGGACATGGAGGGATGGTGCGTGGGGGACATGGAGGGATGGTGCGCGGGGGCATGAGGGTGTGAGGGGCATGGCAGGGGCGATGGGGCATGTGGGCACTGACAGAGACTGGTTGAGGGGGAAGGGGGATGACGGGTACATGGTGTTGGTGACAGTAGGAGAGAATGCGACACACCAGATGGCGGAGCGTTTGAGATGCCAGGCACACGACTGGGGCAAGGAGAGCAGCAGAGGAGGGATAGCTAGTATGGCAGCAGGTGCTTGGTATGTGAGGGAGTGAGAGGGAGAGCGGTGGGGGGTGAGAGGCTTGGGGGCGGGCTGGGCTCACGGGCAGTCGAAGATGGCGCGGCGTGGAAGGGCTGTGGTGGGCTGTGGTGGGCGGTAGTGAAAACAGTTGCCACACTAAAACGCCATGGCCGCCCTGTTTGTCACCCCCTCCAATCGCTGGTGAGCAGCAAACGGGAGGAGGATGGGCGGGAGAAGGAGAGGGTTGAGAGGGTAGAGCGGGCTAAAAGGGTAGACATTGGGCAACAGGGGAGGAGTGGAAAAGAGTGGGAGGGCAGGGGTGTGAGCAGAGGGATGGGTGAAGAAGGGAAGGGCGAATGGGTGTAGTGCTGGCTGCACAGGCACTGTCCACCCGCTTGTGCGAGTTGTGCTCATCAAGCAACGCGAGGGGCGGGCGTTGGTGCCGCACCCATGCCACGCACGCCCACCTTCTCTTCTCAGCATGCACCACAGCGGCAGGCGAGATGTCAAGGGCCGTCGCCTCCCTGCCATCCGATGCCAACACCTCCACGTCATAGCCCTGCCATGCCATGCCATGCCATGCCATGCCATACCATGGACCCACATGATAGCATGCAGTGATGTGCCGAGGGCATGGGAGGTCTTAGACAACCAAGCAGCAATCATCTCACATGCCTTGGACTCACTACCCCCCTCTCTTGCTACAGCCCCGTTCACATCTTCCATGAAACGCCCACTGTGCATTCCTCTCCGGCTACAGCCCGGCTCACATGTTCCGTGAATCAACAACTGTGCAATCCCGATCTACAGCCGGGCGCAAGGCACTCACGGTGCTACAGCCGGGGACGAGCACGCGGCGGATGGAGGGCGGCAGGTGCAGCGGCGACCCCTCTTGTGCCGCCACGAGCGCCGCTACAGCCGGCGTCACGCCGCCCAGGTCCCATGGCGTCGTGCTCGCTTGCCACGCCTTGTCCCACCCGCCTGCCACGATGGTGCGGGAGAAGGGATGAAAATCAGGGTTAGGGAATCCCCGAGGGATGCGGAGGGATAGAGAGCGGCGAGTGGAGGCGATTGGGCGTGGTGGGCGGAGTGGAGTGAGAGGGGAGCATGGATGGGGCAATCAACCACGCCAGCGCCCTGGTACCATAAGCCATTTCCACAGAAATATTTCGGCGCGCCTTGGGGTGCGGATGATGTGGTGCGATGCGAATGACGGAGGCCAAACCGCGCAGACGCGCTGGCGCGGACGCAGACAGGGCGGACGGAAATTATTGCGCCTGTGCGACGGCGTGCGTCGCAGCAGTCATCGCACAAACCCAGTCCCCCTGCGTTCGCCCCGAGGGTTGGAGAGAGGCTCACCGACGGGGTCGTGGGTCAGCAGCTGGCGCAGCTCCATCATCCCCGGAATGCTCTTCGGCGCGTCGAACGCCACCACCTCTGACTGCGCAGCGCCTGGCGCGGCGTCCGCTGCCCCTCCGCCGGAGTGGACGCGTGCTGCGACATGCCGCGTGCGAGGGTGCTCGCAGACGAATCGAATTCCGGAAATTGCGCAGAGGAACGTGCGAAAGACGCGAAACGATCGATTACCGAGCCGTTGCGGAAACGGGTTTTGTTAGATGACGAATGCCCGCGACGAAAGGAGCAGACAGAAAGCTGGACAGCTGGAAGTTGTTTGCGGAACGACAGGTACTGGAGGCACACGGGAGCCCAGTGAAGGCGACACGGCGATAGAAGGACGAGGCCGATGGAGAGCCGGCATTACGAGGAAGTGATGGACAACATCAAGATGCACACGAACTCCAGCCTTGCGCGAAGGCTGAGAAACAGCGTAACTGTCGCCAGGCCTAGAAACGTCGCGAAAGGTGGGCCCGCTAGTATTCATTCTCACACTCGCATATAGGGGAGGGGGTGGGGAACAAGGACGAACTCTTGCTTAGGAAATGTGAGGGGATTTATGTGTATAGTGTGTGGGAAACGCTATAGTAGTCGGGTCATCCAGTACAGAATCCAAAGCTCCTCAGGGAGGCCAAACGCCCCCTCTAGATTCAGGACTTCATAGCATGCATGGCAGGGTTCAGGGGACAAGCAGGGGGACACCGCGCAATTTCAGTGCTACTATTCTCCAAACGTTGAGGATCTCCCATGAAGCACGTGGCTTTTGCTTCATTTCCCATCCCGTTTCACCCACACCATCCCGTGGCTTCCAGCAAATTTCTTCCTCATTACAGGGTCACACGTACTACTAGATTCTTGTCAAGAGTCTTCTTTCACTTGCGAGTCCGCTTGCCTCGCATTTCTTTCTCGTCTCCTGTTTTGTGCCTAGGTCGCCGTGTCGGGCTGGCACTCTTTCCTTCGGACGACAGTTGAAACCTTAACAACAGCGGCAGGCGCTAGGATCGCTTCTTGACCTTTTCCAAGAATCCTTTCTCACAGAAGCGGGAAATAATCGCCACCTGTCGCCATGGCTGCCATCGCTCCGCATTTCCTGTCGCTCAAGTCTAGTGCAGGATCGCTTCGTCGGTCTGCGAAATCCCTCCAGCCAGCACAACAACTTTCGCAGGCTTCGCAACAACCGGCGCGACGTCGCCTGGCACTCGCACGAGTCGCAGCGCCGGAACCCGAACCACCCAGGTCCCGAACCGTCGCGCAAACCTCCACTCCATCAACCAGCACCGCCGCAGCGCCCTTGTCTCCTTCCCCGTCTTCCGCGCTTCGCGAGCCTCCCGTTGAGAAGCGGCGGTTCGAGCACGTGATCGAGGCGCAGCAGTTCAATCGCGACTTGCTGTCGGAGATCTTCGAGGTCGCAGACGAGATGCAGCAGATCCTGGAGGGACGTGGCGGCGCGGGGTGCTCGAACATGCTGCGCGGGTACCTCATGGCGACGCTGTTCTACGAGCCGTCCACGCGCACGCGGCTGTCGTTCGAATCTGCCATGAAGCGGCTCGGCGGCGAGGTGCTGACCACGGAGAACGCGCGCGAATTCTCGTCCGCTGCAAAGGGCGAGAGCCTTGCGGGTGAGTTCGGGAGGAGGTGAGGGGAAAACGGGGGAAAAGGAGGCAGGGAAGGGGGGAAAGGTAGGAGAAATTTAGTTGAAAAGGAAATGAAGAGATAGTACAGCACGTGGAGAGTGGATTCGGAGTATTTTGATCCCGAATCAACAAGAAAGACCGATTTACAGAGTTGAATCTTTACAAATTTCAGCAGTTAACTCTAGAGCATGAATTCAAAGAATTGGCCACGTTGGTAAAGTCCTTTGTGTCCTTGCTGCCTTCCTTTCATCTCCTCCTCCCTGTGTTCCCATTCTCGCTGAACCTCTCCTCACCACTACCAACTCCCTCTCCTCTCCCCCTCCCTCCCCCCGTCCCATCCCCCGCACCTCCCCTTCGTCCTCTCCCTTCTCCCCCCCCTCCTCTCACCGACTGCAGACTCCATCCGCACGGTGGAGGCGCACGCGGACGTGATTGTGCTGCGGCACTACGAGGAGTCTAGTGTTGAGGCCTCAAAGCTAGGCCCCACCCCCTTCTCCCCCTCCCTCTTACACACCCCCCTTCTCCTTTGCAGACTCCATCCGCACAGTGGAGGCGTACGCGGACGTGATCGTGCTGCGGCACTACGAGGAGGGCGCGGCGAAGCTGGCGTCGCAAGTGGCGTCCGTGCCCATCGTCAATGCGGGGGACGGGCCCGGCCAGCACCCCACGCAGGTGAGAGGTTTCGGGCTTGCTCGTGAGGGGGTTAGGGCTTGCACCTGTGGGGTTTCGGGCTTGCTCGTGAGGGGGTTAGGGCATGCACCTGTGGGGTTTCGGGCTTGCTCGTGAGGGGGTTAGGGCTTGCACCTGTGGGGTTTCGGGCTTGCTCGTGAGGGGGTTAGGGCTTGCACCTGTGGGGTTTCGGGCTTGCTCGTGAGGGGGTTAGGGCTTGCACCTGTGGGGTTTCGGGCTTGCTCGTGAGGGGGTTAGGGCTTGCACCTGTGGGGTTTCGGGCTTGCTCGTGAGGGGGTTAGGGCTTGCACCTGTGGGGTTTCGGGCTTGCTCGTGAGGGGGTTAGGGCTTGCACCTGTGGGGTTTCGGGCTTGCTCGTGAGGGGGTTAGGGCTTGCACCTGTGGGGTTTCGGGCTTGCTCGTGAGGGGGTTAGGGCTTGCACCTGTGGGGTTTCGGGCTTGCTCGTGAGGGGGTTAGGGCTTGCACCTGTGGGGTTTCGGGCTTGCTCGTGAGGGGGTTAGGGCTTGCACCTGTGGGGTTTCGGGCTTGCTCGTGAGGGGGTTAGGGCTTGCACCTGTGGGGTTTCGGGCTTGCCGGTGAGGGGTTTAGGGCTTCACCTTGAGGTCAGGGGTTTAGGGCAGCACTGTACGCGGGTAAGGGGACTAGGGCAGCACGGCTGAATGCAGGTGAGGGAGGTAGGAGGTTGTGGTAGCATAGGTGGAAATGGTGGGGTGAAGTACCAGATAAGCAGCCCAGGAGGTGGAGCACAACATGAGCTCTCCTTTGCATCCACAGGAGGCATAACAGGTCTCATCTCACGCCTCTTTCACTATCTCACTCAACACCCTATCCCCTTCCCCCGCTCCACCCCTCTCCTTCCCCGGCAGGCCCTGCTGGACATGTTCACGATTCAGTGGTAAATGGGGCAGCATGAACCATTTTTCAGTCACAGGATGCATGGTATACTCACTTCACCCTGCTTTCCCTATCGCACTGCCCTCCCCGCACTGTCCCCACACCTACCCCTCCCCCATCAGTCGCTGCTGGACATGTACACGATTCAGCGCGAGGTGGGGCGGCTGGACAACATCAGGGTGGGGCTGGTGGGCGACTTGGCCAACGGCAGGACGGCGCGCTCCCTGGCCTACCTGCTCGCCAAGTTCCGCAACAACAAGATCATCTTCGTCGCACCGCCCGTCGTCCGCATGAAGGTGCCTTGGCCCATCTCTGCCTCCTTGCTTGCTGCATACAGAAACTCTTTTCTCATACCACTGTTTCCTGGTCCATTTTCTGTGTCGCTTGATCATGGCATTTACCCTTCCTGTGCCCTTTACGCACCCTCCACGCCTGCACTCCTGCTTGTAGTGATCCCCTGTTGTCCCCCCACCCCACTGCCGCTCCAAGCAGGACGACATCAAGGAGTATCTGACGGCGCGCGGCGTGGAGTGGGAGGAGTCGGCAGACCTGATGGACGTGGCGGCGCAGTGCGATGTGGTGTACCAGACACGCATTCAGAAGGAGCGTTTCGGCGGGCGCATGGACGAGTACGAGGCGGCGCGTGGCAAGTACATTGTGGACCGCCGCGTGATGAACGCGCTGGGGAAGGATGCCATCGTCATGCATCCGCTGCCCCGACTCGATGAGGTGAGCGGGTGAAGGAATTGGTTCCGTGTGTGAGTGTGTGCGCGTGCGCGCATGCAGGTGCGTGTGTGTGTGCTTATGTGCGGGTGCATGCGTGCGTGTGCACGTGCACTTTTTTGGTAATCACGATCACAATGCAATTGGTGTGTGAAGAGCCTTCACCATATCTGGACGATTTTACCCCTGGATGACTTGCAGATTACGACTGATGTGGATCCGGATCCAAGAGCAGCTTATTTCCGCCAAGCTAAGAATGGCGTGTACATTCGGATGGCGTTGTTGAAGCTCCTATTGATTGGCCGTTAGTGGGAAAATAATGATTTTCTTGGTCTCATATAGGGTGTAACAAAGATAGTGCAATGCTCAATGAGGGATGAGGGTGGTGATATTGTGAGTTTCACTTTAGAGTGGATTGTTATACTTCCAATACACTTATAGATACTGCATTGTGTACAGAGCATTCCTTTCAGGTTTGAGCTGTCTTTGCTTGCCAGAAAGTCCAACAAACAAGCCGAGTCTGAACACAGAGAGATTGCCACAGTGCCAAATCGATTGGATCTTACAAGTGCACAGAATTCAACCTTTTTGGATTCTGAGAGGCAGGTTAGGGGCCATGTTCAAAGCTACACCCTTATTCTCAGTCTTCTCACCGGCGGAAGCAGTGGCTACAGAGTTTGGACGTAGCGGGCTGGTGAGATAACTTGGTTGCGGGCCAAGTCGCACGAGGCGACGAAACCAGACTTCGGCCGTAAAATTCCAATAACGCTGAATAACTGTCTTAACCGTTTAGAAAACAGCATTACCATTTTAGAACGTATAGAACCTTGACTAAACGCCCTGGGTCAAACTGTCAGTATAACGCATGTGATAGGACCTTCTTTGGTCCGCTGCGGCTACACTAAGCGTCCCGGTAGTATAACATATGCCAGTCTAACGAGAATGAGGGTGTACAGAGTTTCCAAAACGCGATGTGTACCTTTCAGGGTTTGATGATTTTCGGACGGTCTTGTGAAAACAGAGTCAGATCTGTACACTTAACGTTAACTCTGTTAAAGGCGGGGTGCAACTTCTTAGGAACAGTTGCAGGACAAATATGGAGTGTGCGTAACGGGACCCTTATTGGACGAAAAAAATGGAATCTCGCACAAGACAAACCTCTCGCCACTGAACTGCCTGGGACTACCAAGTTTCAAGCTATAATACCCTGAAGTTGAAGCTGATAGTTGGGCCACGGTTTTAAGCAATCTCGCCAGGGATGGTAGTTGGCATTCAGTCTGTCTGTTAACCCGGTTCTGGAACTTCACGAAAGGTGGGGAATTAGCCCATTGATGCTTCTTTGTGCTTCGCATTGACACTGCTCACACGCACTAGAGATCCGATCACTCCACGTCTGAGACGCTCTCATCGCTGTTCATAGATTGAGGGGGAAGACAAGCCTACGAGCTGTTGCTTTCGTGGCTTTTTGTAGCTGCTAGGGATGAACGAATTGCCTAATTGATGGCGACAAGTTGGGTTGGTGGTGGGCGGGGTTTGAGGCAGTAGCGTGCCCCCTTTCAATACGGCGGGCCAAGCCTGACTATTTCAGGGCTGCTTTTGGTTCAGCCCTGGCATACTTTCACGCAATATGTTTTCGATGGAGCAACCATGATTTGAGTGGATTTCCCACTTGGGAGAGGTGAAGATAACTGGCCTGTAGGGAATGGTCTCCAGACAAACTTGTTCCTTGTTTCGTCGTTAGGGTTGCACGGCTCAATGAGATTCCTGAGCCAGAATCAGTCGACTGGTGCTGAGGAGACGTACGTACTGACCCAGTCGTTTCTTATGTTGAGCCAGAAATAAGTCGCCTGCTGTTGCTTCAGTGAGAAATGCGCAGCTTGCATCACGCGTGGTCATTGATGACTTGTTGTCAAGTAGCATTTTTTTATCCTTGGGGGGAACTAAGGTGTCTCAGGAAAGCGATCCTAACGGACTGGTAGCCAGATTTTTTGCCGACATCGCTCGGTGTTGCTACTAACCATTTTGTTCTGCCAGATCAAGCAATCGCTCCCCCTTAACCTTGCCCATGGACTCACATTGTCGCTGCGGTTGCCAAAGATGGCGCTTCTCATTTAGGTTAAACGGTTCGACAGAAGCTATGTTGGTCTTACCCTAAATGTATCCGACTGTGGATACCACCCACCTTATTCCATTCACTTTCGTTGCAATCCAAAAGCACCGTCTCGCATACAACTCCGAACAGACGATTGTTAGCGGATAGCTTGTCTCGCCTACCTATTGCGCACGGGTTCAAGAATTAGCTCGCTGGCTGCCATGCGCGATTAGGAACCTACTTACCTGACAAAGGTAAAATGGCCGGCCGCATCAACTGTCCGCTCGAGGCAGCTGTCGCCGGCTGGATGGAAGAAAATGAGGACGCGGCGCGCTTCAGGGACCTAGACATTTCCGATTTCGCGAACGCGAACGATTTCGGGGACGCCGCCAGACCTAATTTCGAGAACGCGGGCTTATCTAGCTTCCACAACGCCTCCGTTTTCGGCATTTCCGATGTCGTTTCAGCGAATTTTGGCACTGACCTGGCCGTGGGTGACTCGGACGGGTCGTTGGTCCCGTGGGATCCCGACGTGGATGACGTGGATCAGACATTCTATCCGTTCGTCATCGAGCCGCGAAGACCGCCTCCCGGCGTGCCCTTCGACCCCGCTGTGAGTTGCAATGACTTGTAGGGTTCGTAGGAAGGCCCAAGAGTCGATGTTCTTATCCCGCTCCATGGCTCCTGTCCCCGTTGCATCGCCGTGTCACCGTGCTCACGCTTTGCTCGTCAATGCTCTTCAGTGATATACTCTATGCTCGTCAGTGCTCCTCCAGCGATCTCCCACGTAGGTCATGCGTGTAGGTCACCCGTAGGTCTCAGCCTCTCTATTCTCTATTCGTGGGTGCATCTCCCGCCCTACAGGGTGCGCCCAGGCCCAGCAACGAGGAGTTCCGCTTGCAAGTGCTCCGCCGCTTCGCCATCCTCGACACTGTACGTCGCCCCCTCACATTCTCACTCCCCTCCCACTCTCACCCCTCTCACACTCTCACTCAACCCCCTCACACTCTCACCCCCCACTCTATACCCCTCACACTTGCACGCTCTGACACCGGCAACCGCCTCACACTTACAGCCTCAATCCATACACTCCCTCCCCATCTCCTCCCCTTCTACAGTTCGCTTCCTTCCTTCAACCTTCCCTACCTTAATCCAGTTACTTCCCTCACTTTCCCTCACCCCCTTTTCATCTCTCTTCTCATTTTTGCTCCTCCTTCCTGCTACACGGTTCCCCACAAACCGTTTCCCGCTGTTACTCCACCCCTCCCTCCCCCCCTTCCCCCGCCCTCCTCCCCCCTGTGTCATGATCGTTGTTCGTTGTTGCCGCACCCTCAGGAGCCGAATTCCCGCTTTGACAGAATCACAGCACTAGCAGCACAGATATTTAAGGTCAGTATTCCCCCCACCCCACTCCGCCGCCCCCAGTGCAACCTATTGCATGATTGAAGTGGTGCGTGAGGCATGTACTTTGCTTTCTGATACACGGGCTTATTTTTTATTCTCGCCTGGTCTCTCTAATTCCGTCCCACTATCCCCCTCTCCTTATCCCCTTCTCACTATCGTTCTCTTACCATCCCCTTCTCACCACCTTCCCGTCACTATCGCCCTCTCCCTATCCCCCTCGCATCTGCACGGCAACGTGCTGCGCCCAGAATATCCTTGAGCCTTCACCTTCCTTCACTCCCATCTGCCCCCCTCTGCTCCCCTCTGCACCTCGTCGCCCTGCAGTGCCCAATCTCTCTGGTAGCGTTTGTGGAGGATGAGCGGCAGTGGTTCAAGGTGGGAACTGCTTGGCCCCCCCGAACAAGGAATGGGCTTGCTGTCTGCTTGCAATCTTTCCAACTCTTGCGATGCTGCCTTGAGGTACCTTTCTCGCTCTGCCTTTTGCTGAAACATCTCTTCTTCCCCTGCTTTCCCCACCCCTTCTTTTTGTGCACCAGTCCACGTTCGGGCTGCCAGGCGTGTGTGAGACGGACAGGGAGTCGTCCTTCTGTGCCTACATGCTGCTGCCCAAGTAAAGCCCTTCTTTTGCAGCAACATCAGTGTCACAGCGTGTCGTCAGTCAAATGAGATTAGAGGAATGGCTCACCTTCGTATCACCTCCTCACTTCCTCACTCCCCTCCTCCCACCTCCTCTCCTCCTCACTTCATCCCATCTTCTTCCTCACTCTTGCATAAATCACTTGTCTGTCCCATTTCTTCCATGCTTTCCCTATCCGCCTCTCCCTCCCCTCTTCTCCCGTGGTCTCCGCACTACCTTCCCCTCCCCCTCTCCGTTCCCCCGCTGATGCAGTCGCAATCCATGTCTGGTGGTGAGGGACGCATTGGAGGACAGTCGCTTCGTGCACAACAAGCTCGTGAGTATCTCCCCACCCACGCCACCTCACCTCCTCCGTCACTCGCTTTAAGAATTCCCAAATTCGTTTCGTCCACAGCAAGCTCTTGATTCTCCGTTTCCCTCTCCCCCCTCACGGCAGGTGGTGGGGCCGCCATACATCCGCTTCTATGCCGGGGCTCCGGTCACCACCAGTGGGGGCTTCGTCATCGGCTCGCTGTACGCCGCTCTCCCTCCCCCGCCCCTCCCGTCCTCGCCCCTCCTGCTCGCTACTGCTGGTCCTCCTGCTGTCCCCTGCTCCTCCTCCTCCTCCTCCTCCTGTCCCCTGCAATTCTCCCGTCCTCTCTTTTTCCATGCCTGCTTGCAGCTCATCTCTCATTCGTTATCCCACGCTCTCTTGCCCCACCAGCCAGCCCTCCTGCCTTCCTTGAAGTGTTTTTCCACCTTGTTGCCACGCACTCTTCCCTTCCGTGCTCCTTCTCTTGCGTGCCACGCACGCCACCTGCCTCGTGAACAATGATTCACCGTGTCACCTTCACGCACTCAAACCTTGCCTCACTCATCCTCCTCCCTCCCCTTCCTATTCTATTCTCCCTGCCCTCCTCTTCTCTGCGCCCCATGCACGGCAGCTGTGTGATAGACACGGTGCCGCACCCCGAATTCTCCCCCGAACAAGAGAGCCTCCTCGTCGCCCTCGCCTCCCTCGTCACTCTCGTGAGACCTCCCTCCCTCCCTCCCTCCCTCCCTCCCTCCCTCCCTCCCTCCCTCCCTCCCTCCCTCCCTCCCTCCCTCCCTCCCTCCCTCCTTCCTCCCCCCCCTCTCTCCTCTTCTTCGCTCCCTGCCCTATTTCCCATCTCGTCCTCCCCACACCACCCTCATGGGACTCTGCTTCCCTCCTCTTCCTCTCTACCCTCCCTCACTCCCTTCTCCGCGCGCTCATCAGTTAGTCTGCTGCTCCACGCACTGCATCTTGAAACCGTCCCTCTTACCAGCCTCTCTGCTTTCCCTCCCCTCCCCCTTCCTGCGCTGTTCCCCCCTGCCGTGGCGTGGGCAGGAGATGGACAAGCACAGCCAGGAGATAGAGGTGCAGCGGCAGCAAGCGGACAAGTTTGAGGAGGACAAGCGCGGGCTGCTGCTCGCCATAGACGCCTTCAGCGAGGGGCTCGTGCTGGTGGACGTGTCGCAGCCGCGGCAGCCGGTGGTGTTTGTGAATGAGGGGTGGGAGGAGATCACGGGCTACTCCATCGAGCACGTCGTCGGGCTGCACTGCGGCTCCATCCTGCAGGGCCCAGGGTCTAACATGACCGCTGTTGAGACTATGAGAAAGGCTGTTGAGACCGGCGGGTCTGCTTCTGTGGAGCTGATGAATTACAAGCGGGACGGCACACCGTTTTGGAACTGGCTGCGCATTCATCCCGTGCCGCCGGGGTCGTCGTTCCTGCCGACCGATAAGAACCAGAGGTGAGGCTGTGTGTGGCGTGCATGTGTTTGATGGTGTGTGCGTATCCATGCATGCTTAACCTGCCAAGTGTCCCCCCACCATGTGCAACCCTCCAAGTGTATTCCCCGCTGTATGTGCCCCCCCTCCTGTGTGGCAGGTACTACTTTGGCATTCTGTCGGACTGCACGGCGCGCAAGGAGAACGAGTGGCAGCTCGAGAGCATGCGTGTGAGTGCCGGCCATGGGGGAACAGGGAAGATGGGAGAGAAGAATGGGGGGGATGGGCAGGGGAGAAGGTGGGTGGCAGTGATGGAGAAGTGGCAGGGCACGGCGGGTTGTGACTCAGTGGAGTCTTATGAGCCAGCTGTGCCCAGGTCCGAGAGGGTGACTTCACCCACAGCATCTCCTCCTCCCATATGCCTCTTCTCTCGCGTCTCTTCCCCGCTATCGCTCCTTCCATTCGCCCCCTCCGCTCGCCCCCTTGTTCCCGTCCTCCATTCACCTCCATTCGCTCCCTGTTGTGCTGTACTCACATGCAGATGGCGGAGGTGGAGAGGGAGGCGAGCATGCGGGCCAAGAGGCAGTTCGTGGCGAACATAAGCCACGAGATCCGCACGCCCATGAACGCCGTGCTGGCGTGCGCCCAGCTGCTGCAGGACGCGCCCAACCTGACCCAGGACCAGGTGGAGCTGGTGCACATGATCTCCGGCGCGGGGCAGCAGCTGCTCTCCCTCATCACCGACATTCTCGACTTCTCCAAAGTGAGTGCCTTACCTGCTTCCTGTAGGCTTGGTAGCTCAGGCAGACAGGCAGGGCAGCTGCTGCAGACGCGCCCAACCTGACAAGACCAAGTGGAGCTGGTGCACATGATCTCCGGCGCGGGCCAGCAGCTGCTCTCCCTCATCACCGACAATCCATGACTTCTCCAAGGTACGTCTCTCTGCTGAGCTCCGCAGCACAACGTCACGTCACGTGCGTCAAGGTGGTTCAGGTCGTTAAGGTGGTGCAGGTGGCATCTGCTTACTGTTGGGCCGTCTGCCCTCTCCCCCTCCTGCCCCATGCTCCCTCCTCCCCCTACCACTTCTTCCCCTCTCCCCTGTGGCAGCTGGACGCGGGGAAGATGGAGATGCATGAGAGGGAGGTGAGCCTGTGGGCGTGTCTGGACTTCTGCATGGAGCTGCTCGTGCTCAAGTCCCAGCGCAAGGGGCTCGACCTCTCCTACAATGTTGACCCCTCCGTGCCGCAGTGAGTGCCCTTGTTTGCTTGCCTTGCAAGCTCACCCCGGAGGCTGTGTGTTTTTGCGTGCATCGACAGGCCGTCCAGGGAATTATTAATTTTAGCTAACTGCCTGGCAGGCCCAGCAGGTAAAACCTGCTATCTTATGTGCAGAGTAAACCGGAGCAGCAGCAAGCAATCCGTGTGTGGTATGGGAGCACATCGTACACATCAGATAGTGGCAGCAAAGAATGATCAGGTTGCATATTGGCTACCACTGAAGACTGAACATGCTGTGCTGTGTGTGGTGCGTGCTGCTTGCATGGGGCGTTGGAACTGGGCAGGTGGATATGGGCGGACGAGGTGAGGCTGAGGCAGATCCTCACCAACCTGTTGTCCAACGCGGCCAAGTTCACGGACGAGGGCGGCCAGGTCGAGGTCTCCGTCTCCGCCACTCTGCTCCCCGACCCCGGTCAGTCACTCCCCTCGGTGACGTGCGGTCATGCGTGGTGATGCGCGGTGAAGCGCAGTGATTGGTGGTGATGTGCCGTGTCATGCGGTTGGTCTTCATGAATTACGATGATGTTGTGAGGTGCTTCAAGCTTCTCCCAGCCATCCCATCCCATCCCATCCCATCCCATGCCAAACCATCCCATCCCATCCCATCCCATCCATAAGGCGTTTTCCCCTGTTCCCACTGTGTGTGCCCCATGCTGTGTGCTCACAGAGCGGGAGGAGGGGGAGCAGCAGCAGCAGGGGGAGGAGGAGGCATGGCGGGTGCTGCCGTGGTTTGAGATCCAGTTCTCAGTGCGCGACACGGGCATCGGCATGCCGCCTGAGTTCGCCTCCGTCATCTTCGAGGCAAGCCCCTCTCGCCTGCCCTCCTCTACAACCCCCCCACTTACCCTGCCTTCCCCTGTCCCCTGCCCTTGGTCCTCACTGCCCTGTGGCGTTCACTCAGTCTAAACAGCAACCCCATCCATACCCCTGCTCCCTCCCCCCTGCCCCCCCACCCCGCTTTCTTTTCCCCTCCCCCAGGCGTTCACACAGTGTGACAACTCGCGCACGAGGCGGTACGAGGGCACGGGGCTGGGCATGGCGATAGCCAAGGACCTATCGGAGCGCATGGGGGGGCGCATCTGGGTGGACACGGAGCTGGGCAGGGGCTCCACCTTCCACTTCACCATCCACGCCCACGGCAGCATGGTCGAAGCCTCCAACATGCTGCCCTCTCTGCTCGCCAATCAGGCCTCCGCGTCCCTTACTGCTTCGAGCAGCGGCAGTGCTGGTGCTGGTGGTGGTGGGGAAGGGAAGGGAAGGGATGGTGCTGCTGCGGCTGCTGCTGCTGCTCCCACCACGCCCACCGGCCGCAGAGGGAAGCTGCTGCTGCCCACCTCCTCCTCCACCCCCTCACCCGCCTCCCCAACCTCTGCTACCACTGCCATCCCCCCGGTCTCTCTCTCCGCTGCCGTGCCTCCTCGCTCCCCCACATCGCGCTCGCCCCGACCTTTCCCCCGGGCCAATACCGTCCCATCTGCCACCGCCGCTGCTGCTGCTACTGACTCGTCCGCTGCAGCACAGGGCAGCCCGGGTCAGCCTGGTTCACTCGACGCTGATCCTTCAGCGCCCTCCGCCCTACAGAGATCCGAGAGCGACAAGCCCTCCCTCACACCCTTCCCTTCCGACGCTGCTCCAACCCCGTCACCCCTACACACGCTCTTCCTCACTCCCCCAATCACCCCTCTCACGGGCAAGCGCGCGCTGCTGGTGGGTGTACCGGCCACGTTCCACCGCATGTTAGGGTCCATGCTGGCCGCGTGGGGTGTGTCGTGCACTGCTGTGCGCACCGTGGATGCTTTCTGGGACCAGTGGACGGGCGAGGAGGGTGGGCTGGGGCGCGCGGCGGGGTGCAGCGAGAAGGAGCAGCAGAAGAGCCTGCTCAAGGTGTACCGGTCGGGCAGTTGGAGCGATCTGCCGTTGTTTGGGTGGGCGGATGGGGAGGGCGGTGCGGGGAGTGAGGGGGGGAAGAAGGGCGCGGTGGGAAGAGTGGGAGGGGAGGAGAGGGGGAAGGGGTATCCCAGGGCTATGAGTACGCCCAGAGGGGTGTTTTCAGGGAGGGGTGAGGGAGGAGGCTCGTCTGAACAAGCACCATCTGAGGAGGACGATGAGGAGGAGGAGGATGGTGATGGTGATGGTGATGGTGATGGCGATGGGGGGAAAGAGAGGGAGGAAGGAGGTGGGCGTGGGAAACAGCAAGTGGAGGGCGGAGGGGAAAGGGAGGGGAACGAGCGGAAGAAGCGGGGCGGAGAGGAGCTATCGTTCCTGGCGCGGGTGCAGGCGCGGCAAGTGCAGCGCTTCGACGTGGTGCTTGTAGACGGACCAGCAGTCACGAGCAACAGCCGAGGGACTGGCGGACAAGGGCGGTACGGAGGGGGAGGAGCGTTGGCATTGGCGCTGGCGGCGCAGCATGAGCAGGAGCGCGCGCTGCTGATGATGCACCTGGGGTGTGCGTGTGCCAGCACTGCACCCACCTTCCTCTTCCTCTCCAAACACTCCAAGCGCCAACTGCCCTTCGACCCCGCGCTCCTGGTGAGCCTTGCTGGCAGTTAGAAAAAACTTGGTTGCAGCCCAAAAGTGGGTTTACTCGCGGCCCAGCAGCAGTTGCTTTCGGTTCCGCCCTCCCTGTTTGCCCCTGTTTGCGCTGCTCCCTCCACTGCTTGCTCCACCTCTTCCCGCAGTATTCTGCTTCCGGATGTTCTCTCCCTGCCCCTCTCATCCTCCATTGCATCATCCTGTCAGTGCATGTGCGAGTGAACAACAACAGCATTGCCTCTCCCCTCATCCTCTCTTCTCCCTCACTCCCCCCTCGCTTCCCCTTCCTCTCGCCCCCCACCCTTATCGAATGTTGGCAGCGCAAGGTGGCGGTGCTGTCGCGCCCAGTGCGCGTGAACCAGCTGTACAAGCACCTCATCCAGTACCTCGCCCCCTCCGCCCTCGCCACCCTCCCTGCTGTCCCCGACTCCCCCCGCTACGACACCCCCGCCTTCTTCGACGTGAGTCTCTAGACCCTCGTCCCTTGTCCCTTACCCCTCTTCAGTCCCTAGTCCCTTCCCCCTCTCTCACACCATACTGCATCCCGTACAGTGTCATTGTTCTCAATACCTGGTAGTGGTATGACTAATGAAGCGTACAGTATCGCATGAAGCGTACAGTATCGCATGAAGCGTACAGTATTGCATGAAGCGTACAGTATCGCATGAAGTGTACAGTATCGCATGAAGTGTACAGTATCGCATGAAGCGTACCGTATTGCATAAAGCGTACACTATCGCATGACGTGTACACTATCGCATGAGGCGTACACTATCGCATGAAGTGTACAGTATCGCATGAAGTGTACAGTATCGCATGAAGTGTACACTATCGCATGAAGTGTACACTATCGCATGAAGTGTACACTATCGCATGAAGTGTACACTATCGCATGAAGTGTACAGTATCGCAGCCCCTCCACCATCTCCTTCTCCGCTCCTCCCCCATCTTCCCCCCTCGCCCCTTTCCCCTCTCCATTCCCCCTCCCCCTCCGCCGTCTCACCTCGTCCCTCCACCGTTGCCCCACGCCCCTTGCCCCGTGCAGGAGCCCTTGGACCTGCGACCAGCGCCGTCCGCCGTGTCGCCGTCACCGGGGCCGGCAGGGCTGTCGGGCATCTCCGTGCCCTCCTCCTTCGCTGGCTGCTCCTCCGCCGCCCTCGCCTCCCTGCCCGCCTCCATCCCCACCTCTGTCTTCACTGCAGGTACGCCCAGATCTACCCTCCACGGCAGGTACGGTCAGGTCTACCCTCCACTGCAGGTACGTGCAAATCTGCCCTCCACGGCAGGTACGGTCAGGTCTACCCTCCACTGCAGGTACGTGCAAATCTGCCCTCCACGGCAGGTACAGTCAGGTCTACCCTCCACGGCAGGTACGGTCAGGTCTACCCTCCACGGCAGGTACGCCCAGGTTTACCCTCCACTGCAGGTACGCGCAAATCTGCCCTCCACGGCAGGTACGGTCAGGTCTAGCCTGCACTGCATGCAACCGCTCTTCTTTTCTTCCATGCAAGCACCCATACCAGTCATTGTCAATTCCTGCCTTGTAGTCTTCCACCCCTGCTCACTCATCACCACACATCCCCACCCCACCACACCCTACCTCACGCCCCTCACACCAAACCCGCGCTTCACACCTCCCCTACACCATCCCATCCCGCGCAACAACCCCAGGTCCGGCAGCAGGGTCGGCGCCGGAGGAGGTGGCGAAGGCGGTGGCGCGGGACGTGGCGGCACTGCGGGTGGCGGTGGTGAAGGAGCCGATGCCGCTGGGCGTGGTGCGGGCGGAGCGGTCCAGCCCACGCCCGGGGGACCTGCAGGTGCTCATCGCGGAGGACAACATCGTCAACCAGCGCGTGCGTGCTTGTGGCGACTGGTGTCACTTTGCGCTCTGCCCGCCCGCTGTGTGATGGTTGTTCCAGTGTGCACGCTGAACACAGGTGCTGTTTGTTGCCAGGCGTGTGTGCATGTGGGCCGGTACTGACACTCTACTGTGTGCGAAATTGCCTTGCATGGGGGGGTGCAGGTGCTGCTGAAGCTGCTGAATGGCATCGGGGTGAGGTCGTGCTACACTGCCATCAACGGACTCGAGGTACTCCCTTGTTCACCACTGCCCCTCTGCTTCTACACACCTTGCTGCACTGCTACACGGCTTCCCTTTACGCTCCACCGCTGCTGTCTGATTCCTCTCTCCCTTTCCCCCACCCCCCTGGCGGTGGCACTGCGTGTGCATGGGGCCACCAGGTGATGCAGCGGCTGCGGCAGGTGACAGTGGATCTGGTGCTCATGGACGTGCAGATGCCCGAGATGGACGGCCTCACTGCCACCGCCTGCCTCAGAGTAACCCACACAACCCCTCTCCACCGCTCTCAACTGCTCCTCACCGCTCTCCGTTCAAATTCAGACATGCATGAGCATTTCAGTCTTTCTCTGTGCCTCAACTGTCTTGCTTGAACAGTTGAGGCACATGTCGACCTCATCCGTGCTTCTCTTCTCTCTCCCTCCATTTTCACTCTTTCCTTCAGAGGGAGCTGCCACCAGAGCAGCAGCCGGTGGTGGCAGCACTGACAGCAGATGTGGGGTCTGGGATAGAGTCCGAGTGCAAGGCTGCTGGCATGAACTCTTACTTGAGCAAGCCTGTTAGCAAACCGGCCCTTCAGAACTTCATTTCCCGATGCTTATCGTGGAAGCACAAGGGGGCAATTGATCCATTGAAGTGGATGGATTGAGAGACAGAGGACATGAGTTTGGACACGAGTTTTGGTATAATAAGTAGGTACATTCTAAAGATAGTATGTAGATGGCGTGTGCGAATGTGATCCGTATCTAAAGTAAATGCAATTGACAAGTTTTCTAGTACCGTACCAATACTAAATAATTGTGATAAGTGAGGAACTTCGCCAAATTCATTGTTTTGTGTTATTGCACATGCAAATTGTTCCACCACAAATCTCGGCAGTATCGAGATTTCTTCATTCCCTTGCTCAACCCGCCCTTGTCCGTGTTGGCTTTTTCGAGCTGTACGTGCTTTCGCTGCTGTTCCTGGCATTCTGACTGGCAGTCCGCGTTACCCTAGCTTCTGTGATCAGCTCAACAGACATTCCTGCACTGCTTGCTTCACTAAAGGAGGCACTAGCTCCTCCCTGCGTGGTCATTCTCAATAGATCCGGTGCCATGGATGGTTCGTCGTCTCGGGAAGGAGGCATTCAGCTTCTTTTAGCGGCAGAGCAAGAAGCCCAGAAGGTCGTAGCTGCAGCTCGTGCAGGTGAGCCGCTAGTTTCTGCGGTTCGAAGCTTTTCACTCACGATGCAACGAGTAGAAAATAGTCCCCCTGTCTCACAGGATCCTTTCCTGGTCTCCTTCAGTTTCGGATCACGTACTATTTTCCTCACTACCATTTTGTTTACTATTTAATCTTCCAGCCAAAACTGCCAGGTTGAGGCAAGCGAAGGAGGAAGCGGAGAGGGAAGCCGCTGCTTACCGCGCCCAGCGTGAGGAGGAGTACAGGAAGAAAAAGGCCGGGGTAAGTGTTACTTCGCCGTGGCGTTGCATTGACCCACTGTGTCTGTATGCAGGCGCCTGCTGTCGGTTGATCAGTTTTAGCGCGTCTGATACATGTTTGTTTGTCTGTGTCCTTAGACGTCAGGCGACTCGGAAGCGACTGTGAAGCGGCTGGAGGTGCAAACGAGGCAGAAGATTGATCAGCTGACTAAGGAAGCGGGCAATGTGTCGAAAGATGTGAGTTTTCGAAAAAAAAAAAAAAAAAAAAAAAAAAAACCTTAGTTAATGTGCCATTCATCCGTCTTTCGTTCTGTCCTCGCATCTTTCTTTTTGCTGAAATAAACACCATTTTGTTGAGCTGATTTGCAGGTTACTGGGATGCTTCTTGATCTTGTGACAACAGTGAAGCATTAAATTCCTTACTGCTGCTGGAATGTGATGGTCATTGTAAAAGATATACTGCAGAATGCAGCATTTGTGCTTAGAAGATTCTTATCACGATAAGATCATTCATGTATGCAGGCTGTTCATATGTCGGTTCATGAAGATTCTGAGTGTATCTCTCAGGCTTGCTGCTGCCACTTCATGTTCACAATGGTTTCGAATCCAACTCATGTCGCTGCTGGAATGTTAAGTACGGTACAAGCCTGGCTGGGGCTTAAAAATGCTTCATAAGCTGCAGGTTGGCATGGCACTCAGAAGTCCAAGAGCAGCTTTGGAAGAATCCTTTCTAAGTGAGTTCCTTCAATTTCAGTGGAACCTTCCACCTCTGCCTGCTCTGTTGCACGACCAACTGCTTCTGCAGTACCAAAAATACAACCCAGAACAACAATCATGAGCTTCATAATGCGGAGGGTTATACTTTGTCCTGTCCTGAACGGTGGTAAAGGACATGCAGCTCACCCTGAACAAATAGTCGAAGAAGACCACAACAAAGGCGTTGAGCTGGTTTGGTTACTGCCAAGACGATAAGGGGAGGGCACAGCAGAAGAGGTAAGTTCTGTATGTATCATGGTCATCCCACCCAATGACATGCTTCCCGCATCAAATAACACCAGCACAGCATTGCAGGAAGTTGCAGGCAGATGGTAGAGATGCCTACTGGGGAGAGCAATGGCTCCTGCTCCCAGACCCGCGGCGGACTGTCTCTTTCGTTTCTTCCGTTGCCCTGCTGCGTCACCACCATTCTCTGCGACCTCCCTCCGCTCGTCACTTGCTTCAGCCGACCCAACAAGCGGATTTGCAAGAGCGATATCATCCTCCAATGACGCTGCGTCTCCTGAGCTTCTGACGAGTCCTTGAGGGGACTCAAACGGAGCAGCTATACGATCAAGGCTGGTCCTATCCTCGCCCTCTTGCCCTGACGTTGAACCTGGAGGCTGAGCCTGCCATACGGCGGTGTACCTTGACGTCACATTCTGTGCAAAACTGAGAGGCGGAATCCTCTACTCGAGAACGAAAAGGCCAGGAACAAACCTGCGAGCGCGCGTCCGCTGCGTACACATGTCTGAAGAACCCCATGACGACTTCCTGCCAATAGCAAGCCTGGAATCAATCATCGGGAAACTAAATTACGCCCAGGTAACGGCCCACTGCGGGCAAGCTGTACAAGCGTAAGCGGAAAGAACGAATCTCACAGGCAGAAATTGGCCATGCTCTTCGTCCATCTGGCAGGTGCCCCAAAGAGAGGATGCGCGAGCTACTAGTACTTTGTGGGGTACGTAAATAGCAGCCGTTCGAATGTTGTTTACAATGGAGCTTGTCAGTCTGACGTGATGAAGGTTTGCACATGGAGGATTGTATTGCTACTTTTACAAAGCTGGTTGAACTGCAGTGTAAAAGGTCTGAGCATCAAGGTTACAGGCAGTCATACAGAAGTTGATGGGTCTGCCACTTGGGTATAGATTCTTGGAAATCGTTGGTGAGACCCCTTATGTACCTTATCCACGCCTCCTTAGCGTCTACCAACAATATCTGCTGATTGTTCAGTCTACATTGAGAATCCATTAGACATTGTTCGCATCTGCCACAGTTGTAATTTTTTCCTTTCGCTTTCAAATTAATCTGCCACTTGAGGAAGGCCGCCACCTGCACACGGCCAACAAGGACAGCGGGAGGACAATAAGGCTCTACCGAACTGCTGAACTCCGCCTCATTCAATCAAATCCTTTCTCAGTCCCCAACCACCCCTTTCTCTCCCTTCCCCCCTTTCCCCCCCTGCCCTCCCAGTCTCCCCCTTACATCCTGCCCTCCCCACCCTCCCCCCATCCCCACCACACACACACATCCCCGCTCTCAAGAGCAGCATACCTGTAAAGCATGCAGAATATTGTAGAACACAACCGGTGACGCCAGGACACGTGCTTTTTCCCCAACGGAGTCCCCTCGCCCTCCTCCCCCTCTGCTATCACACCCCTCACGATAATCACCACCAATGCATTCTTGACGAGTTCCGGCCTCATGCCCCTGCCTCTCCTTCCCCCCTGCCACATCCTTCTCCACCTCTCCTGCTTTTTTTCCATCCTTTCCTAGTTCTGAAACCGGACATTGAAGGCAGGGGCTTGTCTCGTCTCTTCTTGGACTGGGACTAGGGACTAACGCCACCCACTCAGACTCTGTCTTTACTAACCCTGCGCCATCACTTCCAGGAGGTGACTGCATCGTGGCATTGCAGTTGCTTTGAAGAAATGGAACAGCCTTCCATCCCATACTGGCTAGCTCCTGTATCCGTATATCAACCTCTCCCTCTCCCTGCCCCTCCCTGCCACCCTCGCTCCCTCCCTGCTTCTCTCCTCCTTCCACTTCACCATCCTCCCCCTCTCCCAGTTTCCCCTGCCCTTCCTTCTGCACGAGATACAGAGAATTAGACGCCACAAGCGGTATGGGCACCAGCACTGCCTCATTGCCAGCTTCCCTGTCAACATGCACACATGTCACGGCCTCACAGCCACAGGGCGAGAATGATGATCTGCAAACGCGCCTCCTCTTTGACCTTTCCATCACTCCATCCCCTCCGCTCCCCTCTTTCTCATTCCCCTCTGACGCCCCCCCATTCAGCTCCCCCAAACCTGTTTGTCCAAGCCCATCAGATGCCAAGTGCTGCTGGTTCGCCCCACATACCACTTGCCTAACGCCCCTGTCCTCAGATACAGCTTCCACTTCGGCCTTCTTGCCAGCTTCAGGGCCCTTCCCAGGTCCCACATCCCCCGTGGGAGGGGGGTTGAGGGTAATGCGAGGGAAGGGATGGTGGAGGGAGAGGGGGATGCGAGAGAGGAGGGTGAGGAGGGAGAGGTCTTCACTGTGTGACGGATCGAGTGTGAACCAGAGAGTGAGGGTGAGGCGTTGACCTCGAATCACCTGCCAAGAAGCAAGAAAACGTCAAGAAGCTATTTTTGTTCCCAGACAATCAAGAGAGGCATTAAACATGTTCAGAGACCATGGAACTGAAGCATGGGCCAATAGTGTAATATTCTGAGTACAATGTGTATATTGCTGATCTTTAATGTGCCTTTGACATAGATGCCTGTTCCCCTCCTTGTGCCTCCCCCCTCCCCTCAATCATGAGCATCCCCATCTTACAGGATCAACGCAATGCTCATTCTCCCCTGAAGCCGAGTATGCCACGAGTCGCTGCGACCATATGAGAGACGAAACACAGGATGAAAATACAGACTGACATAAGAAGCAGACCTGGCACACGTCCAGGGCCGCATATCATGGAGAATTGTATGGCCGCAAATGGAGTAGCACATGTCAGGCAGTGGGTGTCCATATCACCACAAGCATTCCACTTGCAATGCACTCACCCCGGGCTTGGGAGCGACAGTGTGAGGATGGCCCTGTCGAAACCTGAAAAGACCTCCATCGAAGTCCTTGCCATACTCGTTCAGATAACACACTGCCTGCGACGCATGAGAACGAACTTGTGCGCACTGAGGGACGAACAGGAGGCACACACAAGTACCATCACAGTAGAGCAGTAGCGGAGCAGGCCCAAACGGAGCACAGGGACTGTGTGAAAATAGCCCAGCCCAACAGGCACAGTAGCAGACACGTCAAAGCAAAACCCTATATGCTACAGGACGCGAGGGGTGGTTGCGACGAGCAAAAGGGGAGTGTTTTACAGCGAATGCGCGTTGCTTGAGGTAGGGCCGGTTGTCGTCAGCATGCCAGCCAATGGTGGCGCCAGGCAGCCAGCTGATGATCCCCGTGAACTCCACCAGCAGCCCCAGCTGCATGCCGAATGCCTCCTCCACCTTGTCCCGAATGCGATCTGCCATGCATGCACGCACAAAGGACCAATTCGTGTCAGATAGATGCTAAGTATACTTGTAACTGACTGCAGGCACACGTGGCCTAGATACCGGTTACACTCGGTAACACAGTACTGTCATGTTCGGCCAACATTGCGCCACACAGAAGAACGAGAAGGTTATTTGGAATCTAAACAAGGCAAGAAGCGCTGAGGCGACCACGGAAGGACGATACAAGTCAGCTGACTTTCCAGTGACTGGTACAAGGGTACCTCGAATGGGGAGGATGGGGAGCATGAAGGGACCGCAGTTGGTGGCAATGAGATGAGCGAGCGTGGTGGAGCGCACATGCGGTCGGTACCCCACGGTGCTGCTGCTGGCGTGAATGAACGCCAGTTCCTGGTTTGGAAGACCAAGGGGAAGCACAGCCAGGAGCTTCTGAGTTCGGAAGACGGTGTGTGCTATCAGGATTACATGCGGTGAGTACCCCACCGTGCTGCTGCGGCGCGAAGGAACGCGAGATTTTGGATTGTGAGGGCCGGGGGCGTATGCGGGTAAGAGAAGCGTGGCTTGATTCGCATGATGGAAAAACGAGATGGAATACGGCTGAAATCTCGTTACCGCGCAGCAGAAGGGAAGGAGCGGGTGTGAGTGCGAGACGCGTAATACCACCCACCTTGCACTCACGCGGGCTGAGTACGTCATCGATCACAATCCTTCGCGGTGCTAAGGAAGCTTGAACATGACTCGGTTCCATAGCTTCACATGTATTCATGATGATGGCACGTTTGCTCGCATTGAGTTTTCCTGCCTACCCTGCCAAAAGCTCAAGGCGCTTATTCCAAGCCTCCGACATCACTTTAGTCTTGTGTAACCGGACCGCACGTGGCAATTAGTGAGGTATCGATGATCCTGATGTGGGAAGAGACCACAGTAAGTGATCGACGACATGGTCCCACAAGGCAATAATAAACGCACTCTTTCTTTTGCTAATAGGCAGCCGCGTGACAATATTGAGGTCACAAAAGGGCCGACTGGCGAAGATGCCACACGAGGTGTATCTACACCTTGTGCCGTATGGATATCAAGACATATGGGCTGCATAATTTTTGCGCATTACGGGCTGGCAGCAAACTGCTGGCCCCATATTACAATTAAAATAAGGATAATGTTGTGAAACGACTATTTAGTACATGCCTAAGCTACAATGTGGACAGGAACATTAATAGCTTGGTTGAATTATTAATACCCAACATTCCTGTTCTCAAATATCCAAAACCAAGTACCCTCTAGCCAACATTGCCTCGTGAAGAAACTAAGGGAAGACAGAGGGCATGGCAGTGGTGCAGGGCGCCCAGAGAAGCAAGCCCAAACCATCCCACCAAGTCCAAGGCATGGCAATGGTAGGGCTTGCTCTCCTTCAGCCGCTGGGCACAGTACCAGCGGCCCAAGCCACGTGCCATGACGCATCAAGCATCTTCGCGGCCCTGCCTTCCCAACATACACACAATCAACCAGAGATGACACAAACACAAGGCAGGACGCTCGGAGGAGCCACAAGCCCCTCCCAAAATGAGAACAGGTCACTTGAGAGTAGCAAAAATAACATGATTTGATGCTTCCAGGACTATCAATGAAATAAAAGGGTTCAACAAAAAGGCACAGAACGACCAGCAAGAAAGTCAACCAAGAACGCAAATTGCACACAAGCAAGGCACAGTGCATACCTCCACACAAGCCCCATGCCCGCAAGAGCCGCTTTACGCCTTGGTGCGGCCGAAGAACTTTGCCTTCTCGTCAGACGTCTGGAAGCGACCGTGGCCGAACTTGGAGGACGTGTCGATGAACTTGAGCTTCACCTCCTCCAGCGCATTGCGCGACGTCTGCTTCAGCAGCGACCGGCGCAGCGTCAGCACGCGCTTGCGCACGCCGGGGCAGCACCCCTTGATCATGATGTAGTCCTCGCCCACCACACCGTACTGCGCGAAGCCTCCCATGGGGGTGATCTCCTTGTCGGTGCGATCGTACTCCGTGCTGGCCTTGTGGCTCTCGTCGCCCTTCTTTCCGATCTTGTAGATCTTCTTGTTGAGCTCCGTGCGGTGATGGTAACCGTTCTGACCGGCGCGCGCCACGGTGTACGGCACACGAGCCGGATGCCACGCTCCGATACAGGCGACCTTGCGCAGACCACGATGGGTCTTGCGAGGCAGGCGGGTAACACCCCAACGGTGCACCACACCCTCGTTACCGTGACCCTTGGTGATGGCGATGACATCAATCATCTCATCCTTGCGGAACACGGCATCGATCGGCACGGCCTTCTCGAACAGCTTGTAACCCCAGTCGACCTTCTCCTCGATCGTGCCGCCGTTGATCTGGATCTCCATCAGATGCGACTTCTTCTGCTTGATTCCCTTCAGCTTGTGCACCTCGGTGTGCGCCATGACGCGGATGATCGACGCGTGCTTCTTCATGCGCTCCAGCTCCTCCTCGATCTCCTTCTTGCCCTCGTCAGTGCTGAACTTCTTAGCGTACTTGGTGAACGCCTTTTTCTTCGACTTGTGCCAGTTCTTGTACCACCGGCGACGGACGTTGTCGCTCAGATGCCCGGCGTACACGTGCGTGAGCGTGCGCGGGCCGTGCGCGGTCTTCACGTACGCGACGAGACCGCAGACGATCATGGGGGGGGTCTCGACAATGGTGACGGCCTCAGCAGCCTCCTTCTTGTGCAGCCCTGTTGAGAGGGGACGTTCGGACGATTATATGTTAGGCATAAACTGAGAGCACGTCGAACATGAAGCAGCAGCTAAGGAGGGTATGCGGGAACACACGATTTTGAGATCGTGGAGGGGAGGTGCGGATTCAGCCCTAATCTGTGAGCAACATTGCGAAAACTATGTTAGAAGCGAAGAGAGGCGACGTACTGGAGCCGGGCTTCTCGACCTCGCGGACGATATGCGTCATGCCCGCCTTGTAGCCCAGGAACGCCGTCAGGTGGGGAGCCTTGGTGGGGTCATCCTTGGGGAACGCCTTCACTGCCAACACGCAACACGGACAACGCCACGCACATACGGAGCACACGACAGCTTCAGTAGACGAAATCAGCGACCCAACGGTGACTCTGCACCGGTGCGTGAGACCTGGTCTATACTATCCGAGGGACAAAATGAACGGTAGGCTTTAATGTCGGAACTGTGAACGGAAATGAGCTTCCTACGGATTATCGGTCAGGAGACTACCTTTCCCGCGTGAGCGCTTGCACCGCTTCCGGGGCAAGAAGCCGAGAGAACCATGGCGCGGATGCTCGAACTTCCTGTGACTCATCCTGGCAGGACGTCCCTAGCCAAGAGAAATTAAGGAAAAGGGTCTGTAGAGGTTGAAGATAGAACACAAGTAGGCAGCGAAACGGGGAAAATCGCGTAGCGGCAGGGCCAACGTGAGGCAGGCACTGGAAATTATGGGGATGTGGTGCGGTGTGCAGGTGTAAAGAGATCGGGTGGGGCTGGCTTCGGAGGGATTTTTGGGCATCGCGGAAATAGGTCCAGACATAACTTCTAGAAACAAACTCATGAATAAAGCTTCTACAGTCTTGGGATCGATTCAATTGATAGCTAATCAAGGTCACTAGAACCTGTCATACCTATTCCTCTTCAAATTCAAGATACCGTACCTTACTGGACTGCTTCCCTCCACATCACAGCATCACTGATTACGTTGTAGAACTCAATCCTCACACCACTACGTTTAGAATTGATTGTTGATTCAAATTTTAGCCAAACTCCAAATGCACACGTTGCAATTTCAGTACAAAATCTCATTCTTTGGTAAAACCTAAGTAGGGAAACATATCATACAGACACAGAATCAACGTGCATATTGAATGTCAACGTCACAAGCCATTATAGTTATTGCTCAAGGACCCTATCAATTTCCATGGCTGTTGCACCTGCTCCACATTATCTCGGTGCTGGAACAGATGTGGATCCTTGCTTCTCCAAGCCACAGTCATCAGATGCTGCTAACTCTGGGTCTGATTGGTGTAGTTTCCAGCCTGACCCGGCTTGTCCCACCGAACAGGCGGTGTGGATCGCAGCATCTCCAGCAGTTTCTCCTCCTGCGCTGCCTTGGCTGGCGACAGCAGCACCCTGCTGCCCTGCAGCACCCCACTTCCTCCTTCCTGCTCCCTTCCCCTCTCTGCCTGCACCCCCCCTCTGTCACTTCCCCCATACGGAGACATGGCATAATCACTGGAAGAGGAGTCTTGGGATTGGGAAGCAAGAGAGAGTCTGTGGGCTTGGGGCAGGTGGGAGAAGGCAAAGCTTTCGTTGGCCGGGCCCCGTGGACTGACTCCTGCACTACCAATCACGCTCACACTCATGCTGCCACTCATGCTGCCACCCGCACTGCCAATCACAGAAGCCCTGCCAGCCGGCCCCATCATGCCTCCCAACGCCGGTCCCGCCCCACTTACAGTAGCGCTCCGAGACACCAGACTACCCCCCCGCAAGCCGCTGCCACTCGAGCTAACACTGCCACCACTCAACGACGAGGTTAAAGGCAGTCCGCCCCACCCGCTGCCCACGCTGCTGAGAATCTCCTGCAGCCGCTCGTGCCCGCTCTTTCCTCCGCGCGCCCCTCCCCTCGCCCCTCCCATAGCGCTGCTAGGCGCCTTCTCTGACCGGCTCTTGGTGAGCCTTGGCCCCCCCACCCTCCTGGACGCTGCTGTTCCCTTCCCTGACGCGCCACCCTCGATCCTATGGCCACTGGATGGGCTCAAGCGCCCTCTCTCCTGCTCTTCCTGCTCCCCGCCCTCCTCCTCCTCTTCTGCTACCCGCTGCTGCAGCTGCTGCTGCTGCGACTGCGTCCAGCGGTGGCTGCCACTTTTGGAGCTGCGGCTTCTGAATAGCAGCCCGCTGATTCCGACCTTACTAGACGAACCGCTCGGTTTCGCACTTGGCTGCTTTTCTGCAGGTCCTTTCCGCGCTGCATCAGCGTGCGAATCTGGGATTTGGCCCGTGCCGTGTAACAGCGGTCCCGAGTGGCGTTCTGAGGCTGGCTGGCGCGGCGGATGTAGCGGCGAGGATGCTGCAAGCGGCCCCTGCGGCACCTGCTGCTGCTGAGCTTCGGTGATTACAGGGAACGCGGCATTCTCGTTTCCAATTCCACTCGGTGTTGCCCACGCTGCCACTCCGCCCACCTTTCCCCCGCCATTGCCTCCGTCACGCCCTCCGTTTCCCCCGTTCCCCCCTCCATTCACTCCGCCGTTCCCCCCATTCCCCCCGTTCCCCCCGCCGAGCCCCATGGCGGGTGTGTCACCCGCCCCCTCCCCCTCGTGTTCCCCCACAGGCCCGACTCTCCCCGCATTCCTTGCGCGCAGTAACACGGGACTGAACCCACACGCGTCTAGGAAACCCCCTCCGCCTCCGCCGCCGCTTCCGACGCTGTTCCCGCCGCCGTCCCCCCCCGACACGGCAGACGGCCGCTCGCGCACGGAAAACGCGCGGGTGAACATTTTCCGCGTCGCCGAGCCGCCCGCACCCGAGCCTGCGCCAGAGCCATTACTACCAGGTGTGGTCAGACCTGTCGAGGCGAAGATGGGTGAAACTTCCGGGCCTAGAGGCTTGGCGACGCTGCTGTCGTCCGGCGATCGAAAGAGCGACCCCGACGACACTACGTTCATGGATTTCGATCGCATGCGATTCGCAAGGGCGACTTTCGACGGCTGCAGAGTCGGTGCGCTGTCGTCGCGTGGCGAGTCGCTGCTGACCTTATTCGCTGGCGACGACGCATTGCTGCCGTCCGTCAGCTTCCCGCACGCCGCATTGCCGTTCCCGCCGCTCCCGGCGCCCCCGCTACTGTTACTGTTGCTCCTGCTGTGCGAACCGTCGTGCCCCACGCCCCCGCCTACCCCTCCCGCAAGCAACGGGTCGTCGAATCCAGGAAGCTTCTGAATCCATTTCCGGAAAACGGACGGATTCTCCGCCGAGAGGCGCTTCCCGATCTCCTTCTGAAGCCCCGCCGCAGTCGTCTGCACGGCCTGGAGGAAGATTCCCAGCTGCTTCTGGGCGAGCTCTGCCTCAGATACGACCTCCCCCAGGTCGTTGTGGAAACGCCGGAGGTCCGCGGGGCCGGCCCCCGCGTGCCAGACATCGCTCCGCGTGGGCGCGCGGGGGATTTGCGCCAATAGGTGGTTGAGTTGCGCCAATGCGGGGATCTTGTAGCAGTGGGGGATGTACCAGTCAGCTTTCCAAACCTCCCCCACCGCCTCTGGCGCGCCAGTGAAGCCCGTGGGCATGGCGAGGGGTGCTCTTGGGTAATGGGAAAAATCTCCTCTCGGAGAGGTAACGAGAGCAACGGAGCGGTACCTTTCAGTTACTAGATCTTCTTACGTGGCGATTTCAATAGTAGCTAAGACAGAGACCGGCGGGGTCAGTTCAGAGACACGGCCGAGGGAGCGCACCACAGAGCGATTGCTGGGGCAGCGATCGTCCATGGTCGACGAGGAAATGGCTTCGAGTGTGCATTCCCCGACAGTTGCGACATCGACCAGGCCATCTGAAGTTGGGTTCTGTGGCGTGGCGGCGAGTCTGGTTCGCTTCGCCGCTGGCTCAGCTCAGATCAATGGCGTCTGTGAATGAACCTAGTACACCCTGTTTCGCGCTACACTGTTAATGGATATACTGGTTGCTCGGATGTACACACATCAATGCGTCCAGGATGGTCCCAGAACGTACCATATAAGCACATATTCCCGCACTCAACCGTACACCTAAGCAAGTTTCCTTTTGGAAACCGTTGTGCACCGTTCACCATGCGAGCATTTCCCGTCACCAACCTGCAGTTCGGTTGTAAGCACCAGACCGCTTCATTTTAAGCAACAGTACGAACTGTAGACAGTGAATCCCATTGCCAGTGTAGCGAGAAAAAGGGTGTAGCTTGGTTGAGTGAAGAAAACCTCCCTCCGCCACACGTCCCTGTTGCCAGCCATTGTCCATCTTTGTTTTCTGGGTTTTTAGTTACGGCGGAAGAGCTTTTTCCAAAACTGCGCTTTCTACTACCTTTGTCTCCACCTACACACAGTTTCCAAGGTTTGGCGGCCCAGACAGAAAACTTATTGCGCTGACACAGAACTCGTCTCCACGTTCATCACGTGTCATCATCTCGGAAGCCATTTCTGTTGCTACTCAGGCGAACGGTGCTGTAAGGAAATTCCCTTTTCCTTACTTCGCATCCCTGCTCAACGCGTACATCACTATAGCACCTCAGTCAGCACCGTTACCGTACCACTCGCAACCATCGCATCATTCATCATCCCGCCATTTTCGCACATCGCATCCCGACCTCACGGCTCGGCTGGTAACCCGCGCTCCGGGCCTACGCTTCGACATTTTCCCAACCTCAGTCCCAGGCTCGTCGCGCGACCATTACCGTTACCACTGTAGTTTCGCTATATATTCTTCGCTCATGCCTTCGCTCATTGTACTCTTGCTTCGATAGTGCAATTCTCGTTCGTTCACTCAATTGCACTCGTAACACTTGGTATTCAGAGCCTACGATCCCATCTCGGACCGCATCCACACCTTCGCTTCCCCACTATCTCAATTTTTGGGGGGGGGTAGACGTCTCTCAGCGATACAGCACCGCCGCTCGTAGTGCTCTCTCGCAAGCACGCACGGCCACGACCGAGGCTCTCGCTGAGCTTGCCCGACACCCCCGCCATGGCCGACTTCACGCTCGCCACATTGACGCAGGAGCAACTTGATCGTCTCGTGCGTCAACTGGAGGATTCGGCGCTTGAAATCGCGACCCTCACGGCGGAACGTGACTCCGCCCGTCAACAATCCACGGTGAACATACCGACGACATCCCACGCACCAACAAACACATCTGCACATTCGGATGAGACGATCATCATCTCGTCCGGCACACCAACACAACACGACAGCACGGGACAACGCTCAGGCGCAGCCAGTGAGGGCGCCGCCCAGCCGATGCCTAGCATGGGAGGAAACAGGATCGCACCAAGCCCACGAGAGCCTCGAGAAGTCCGTCGGCACGTGGAATTTGCGGCGACAAGTGGCGAACAATCCAACATGGCACCAATGCCGCTCAAGCCGCAACGCCCGCCCTGCTTCGACCCAAGTCAACGCGGCGGTCCGACAGTTCAATCGTGGGTCTTCACGATGAACGTTTTCTTCGACGCCAATTACGTCGAGTCGGACGCCGCAAAGATCCGGTATGCGGTTTCACTGCTAAGGGGCCCCGCCATGGACTGGTGGCGAGTCATCGTGACGTCGCCACGCGCCTACGAGCCACCGTCGCACGAGGAAGGGCCCTCGGGTCCAGCTGTCACCTGGAGTTCGTTCTGCGAGACCGCCCAATACAGCACGTGGGATGCGTGGTGCGCAGGGCTTCGGGCGCGCTTTGAGCCGATCGCGGCTTCAATTTCGGCGCGTCAAAAACTGCGCATTTGGCGCCAGCTCGGGTCAGTTCAAGACTATACCAGCGGTTTTCTCGCACTTTGCGAGCAGGTCGGCTACATGCACGAAGCGGAGCGGGTGGACCGTTACGTCGGAGGGCTGAAGCCGGACATCTCGCACGAGATAATGCTGTGCGGACTCTCTAATTTCAACGAGATTCTCGCGCTCGCCGAGAAGATCGACATTCTACGCCGACCGAGACCGGGGTCCTATTACGGACATCGTCCTCGGGGACCGACCGAGCACGCCACTGTACACGCCGTCGCAACGAATGCAGCTGCCGCACCGTTTAAGGGGCGCTGCTTTGCTTGCAACAGGCCGGGCCATCGCAAGAGCGAATGCCCAGAGGAGCTGAGGCGCCGAGGAGCAGAGCAGGGGAGGGAGTCTCAGAGTCAGGGAAACGCCAGCAGTCAGTAGAAGTTGGGCCAACTACTGACGAGACTCCCTGCTCGCCCAACCACACCGACCCTCACCGAGTCACAGTACCGATTCATCCATCGATCGGGCTCGGATGAATAAGGAGGGTACAGCGACGGATTGCCCGGTACTAATCTACGGGAAAATACAGGGAGCAGCAATGAAGATTTTTATTGACGGAGGAGCAAGTCACAGCTTAGTTAATACCGCAACCGCACGGAAATTACAGTTAACACTTAACCGATGCTTACCTGAGATAGATGCACGCTTAGTCGACGGCACGCCACTGGCTATACGGGAAAAGGTGGAGAGAGTAAAAGTCCGCTGCGGAGGGAACTTTGGGTTTACACAGGAAATGCTCGCAACGACACTAGATGGGCACGACATTTTATTGGGACGTGATTGGCTGCGACGGTATAACCCACGAATTGACTGGACGACGGGTAGCTGCACAGTGCGAAGTAGTGGTAACTGGGTCGTCCTACCTCGCTGGCAGCCACCCGAGTCTTCGACGGTCCAGGTCAACGCCATCACGATGAAACGGGCTGTCGCTGCTGGAGCTGACGTGTACGCAGTGGATATCGCATTAGTGGAAAATGAGGAGCAGCCGAGTGATTTGCAGAAACTGTTGGCAGCCGTACCACCCGAACTACAGGCACTACTGAAACGGTTCCCGGGTATATTTCCGGATGACTTACCGCAAGGGCTGCCACCTCAGCGGGCGCATGACCATAGGATCGAGTTAGAACCGGGGGCACAGCCAACTGTACAGCGCCAATTTCGACTGACACAGCCCGAGCTCGACGAGCTAAGGAAGCAGTTAGATTACCTGTTAGAGAAGCAGTTTATCCGACCGAGCTCGTCACCGTTCGCCGCACCGATACTGTTCACACCGAAAAAAGACGGAGGGTTTCGCATGTGCATCGACTACAGAGCGCTTAACAGGGTAACAGTAAAATCACGATACCCCATCCCCCCCGCCGACGAACTGATCGACCAGCTGCGAACCGCACGAGTATTTTCGAAAATAGACTTACGGGGAGGTTACCATAAAATACGGGTCGAACCGTCGGACTGCGCCAAGACAGCATTTAGGACTAGGTACGGGTCATTCGAGTACACGGTGATGCCTTTCGGGCTGACCAACGCGCCTGCAACATTTCAGATGACCATGAACGAGGCGTTTAGGCCACTTTTAGATAAATGCGTCATAGTTTACCTCGACGACATCCTCGTTTACATTCGGGACCAGCAGCAGCACTTAGTAGATCTCGAAGCAGTTTTTAAAATTTTAGAGGCACATCGGTTACTCACCAAGGGCTCCAAGTGCGAGTTTTTTCGGGACAGGCTAGAGTTTTTAGGTCACGTCATTTCGGAGGCTGGGGTTGAGATCGACCCTAAGAAGCTGGATATCGTAAAAGCGTGGCATCCCCCGACGAACATCACGGAACTGCAGAGTTTTTTAGGGTTTGTTAATTACGTTCGTCGGTTCGTCCCCGACATGGCACGCTTAACAGCCCTGCTCACTGATTTACTGCGTAAGGGGGTCCCTTTTACGTGGGGGGAGAAAGAGCATGCTGCCTTCTCTGCCCTGAAAAATGTTCTCTGTTCACCACCCGTCCTACGCATCGCTGACCCACACCGCCCCTTCGAAGTGGTTACAGACGCAAGGGACATCGCCATCGGAGCAGTACTGTTACAGGACTTCGGCAACGGCCTCCAACCCATCGTCTACGAATCACGCAAGCTACATCCACCTGAGCGAAATTACCCGATACATGACCGCGAAATGCTCGCGGTCGTGCATGCCTTAAAAGTTTGGCGCTGCTACTTGACCGGCGCAGACGTGACAGTACGGACAGACCATCGATCCCTACAGTACCTTCGCGCACAGCCCCACCTCAACCCACGACAGATTCGGTGGCTCGATTTCCTCGAGTCGAATTTTCACTATACGGTCACATATAAAAAAGGAGCCTCGAACATCGCTGACGCACTGACCCGCCCCACTGCCCAGATCCATGCAATACTACTCGCCCAGACCAGCCCGCTACTGACAGGACTATTTACCCACGGATATCAAACAGACCCATTCTTCACAGGAGGAAATTCACAGCAATTCGCAGCAGCCAAGGGAGTCTATTACGTAAAAGCTGGAACCGACCGCATCTGGGTACCAGGGTACACACTATTACGGGAACTACTGTTACAGGAGGCACACGACGGAGTTACCTCGGGACATTTTGGAGTAGAAAAAACACGGCAGCAGCTGCAGCGGTACTACTACTGGCCAGAAATGTTGACCGACGTGCAACAACACGTGGCATCGTGTCCCACTTGCCAGCTCATGAAGTCAAGCAGGAAGCGGCCGGCGGGACAATTGCAACCCATCCCGCCT